CTCAGCTAAAATTCAAAGAATTACTGAAAAGGGGTTAATTGGAATTTGGGAGACAACCGGAAGTTTCTGCCACAGCAGAAACTTGTCTATTGTATACACAGCAGTCAGTGACCTTTTCAAAATATAAATCAGACCACATCACAGTCTTTCATAAATTTTTCCAGTACAGTCCCGTTACGTTTAGAAAAAACCCATACTCATTACTCTGACTTCAGAGGTGCTATGTGATCAGGCACCTGTACCTCTCTGGCCTTCTAATTACCCTTTAAGGCTACACAGGCCTTTTCATTACTTCAACACACCAAGCTAATTTTTGTCTTGGGGACTAGCTATGCCTTCTGCCTAGAAAGTCTCTGGATGGCTGGTTCTTTCCTGTCCTTTAGGTCTTATAAGGCTTCCCCAATTTCTAAATAAGCTCTACATTTTCTCCCTTATCTTACTTTATTTTCATTATTACTCATATTACCTGTTTTCTTTTTTTTGGGGGGGGGAGCTTGTTTATTGTCTCTCTCTTCTTACTGGAAAGACGGGCCTTGATCTCTGATTTACTGATGCATCTCCAGTGCCTGGAAGATTGCCTAGCCTACAATAGCACTCAATACAGGTAAGACGAATACACAAAGTGACCAAGCAGCATCCCGAGGACATCTTTCTTTGTAACTACAACATACAGTACAGAGAGCCCTGCACTAATTGACAAGCGCACATCTTGGTTTAACAGCAAGCCACACATATGACTATGACTTAGCTTTCTTTTTTTTCTTTTGAGACAGGGTCTCGCTTTATTGCCCAGGTTAGAGTGCAGTGGCGTTATCATAGCTCACTGCAGGCTCCGACTCATGGGGTCAAGCAATCTTCCTGCCTCAGCCTCTTGAGTAGCTGGGACTACAGCCCTGTGCCACACACTCGCCTATTTAAAATTGTTTTGCAAAGACACAATCTTGTTATGCTGCCCAGGCTGGTCTCAAACTGTTGGCCTCAAGTGCCCAGCCTCCCTAAGTGCTGGGATTACAGGTGTGAGCCACTGCTCCTGGCCCCCAGCATCTTTTTATTTGAATATAAATCAGGGGATGGGAAAAAAATTAAGTTTTTTTCTTTTTCTTCAGATATCCTGCCACCACTCTTATTTTCTTCAAGCTGGCTCTACTTACCTTTTTTAGTAATTAAATGTGACTTTCTAAGCCTTCCTGTTTTAAGCAGCTAAACAGTAAACATAAAGCTTTTAAATCCAACACAAGATGCCAGAATGTAACAACCACCTAACTGGTCTCCTTGCTCTTTACTATTTTCTCTAATGAAGGCAGAGCAGAGTTCAATTACAGTCCACATACTTCTTGACAGAGCAGTAACTTGTTTTTTATAAACTATGTTCCCAAGAACAACAATAAAAAAGCATCCAAATTTAATCAAACTCAATCCTACTTTATTAGTTATGAAAGAAGATGGTGAACTTTGGGATCTCTCCAGCCTACATATGCTAATCACACTGCCAATCATTTTTATAAGAAAAAGTAACTTTCTTGCAGAATGTGACAAACTCCTGAGTTAAAGCTGATCTGAGATGACAGTTTTGTACCCTCTACTTTAATTACACACCAGTCCTCCTTCCACATCCACAGCAACTACCATCAAATTTTAACATGATCAGGTCACATCTGAAAAAGTACTTAATATCTTTTGGTGCAGTAATTTCCAACATATTACTCTAGGCATATTTAACATTTTAATGTCATTTTGATTAGGAAAAAATTGAACTTTCAGATTAGTATGCTCTAATTATATAAGCAATATAACAAACATGCTGAAAAATGTCAGTTCTCTGGGGGCCACCCTGATGTCTGAGGTGACTGAGAGGGCAAGGCCTACCACCAATCGGAGCAACCCTGCTCTTTTCTTTTGTTCTTTTTGTTTTGTTTTTATGGTATTTTCTCATAAGAGTTCCTTTGAAGAAGGAGTTCTGCTCTTAAGGAAAATTTGGAAACCAGTGGATTAGATCACCTGGTAGGACCCTCCTTTTCAACTCCTTAGAGTTAGAATAATACTACTACTACTTGAAATCTCAAGTGCCTTTTTTTATATTGATAATTATTTTGCAGGAGTATAAATAGAGAAATGATAGGAGTCTGTGAATAGGCAGTAACTCACAAGTAGAACGTGGATTGTTGTTCATTTTCTATTTTTTTCCAAAAAGAAAAGTGTCTTTGATTTGAAATTGATTTTTTTTGAGACAGAGTCTCGCACTGAGTGCCGTGGCATCAGCCTAGCTCATAGGCAACCTCAAACTCCTTGGCTCAAGTGATCCGCCTACCTCAGCCTCCACAGTAGTTGGCACTACGGATGCATACCACCATGCCCAGCTATTTTTTTCTATTTTTAGTAGAAAAGGGGTCTCCCTCTTGTCTCCAACTCCTAACCTCAAGCAATCTTCCTGCTTCCCAGAGTGCTAGAATTATAGGTGTGAGCCACTGCACCCCACCTGAACTTGCTTTGTAAAACATGTATTTTTCTTAAATAGCCACTTTGGTTTCAAACTGTAGATACAGCAGATTCTAGTTCAAGATTTATTACAATAAAATATTATTTAATAAGACTTTCAATTAACAGTGTTAAAACAGTTTTTTTCCTCCAACCTCTGGGAGGAAAAGCCAAAAAGTTAGTTTTTTAATAGGGCTGTATTAAAAAACTTTACTACTAAAGGAGTTTTCAATACCATATTTATTACTGTATGGTCTTTGATGACATTTAAGAGTGATGAACAGAAGTTAATACTTGCACACTCTCAGACAAGATTTTAAAAATATAGTTCCAAGGGATATTTGTGCTGTTAAATCAAATTTAACCACAGTTTATACAGCTTTAAATATTGCTGAGTCAAACAGGATTCTCCTCAAGCAAATGTGCAGAATGAATAAGAACCAAAAAATGGATTTATAATCCTAATGTAATATTTTCATTTGATTCTAATACGTATTTAACCGTGACAGAAGGTTAACTCAAATTTTGTAAGATCTATGATAATCATAAACAGGTTAATGTGAATTAGTCAGTTTCATCAATGTATAAGGTTTAAAGGCCTAGTGGGTTATCCTTTTGTTCTCACTGCTGAAAGTAAATCATAAAAAATCAATGGCATCTTAAAGAACTAAAATTACTTTCTACTTAAAATCTCACAATCATTATGGTTGATTTATTTTAGTTGAAAGTGATCATAATATTCCAAACAAGGCTTTGGTAGGCAATATCTATAATTATGTAAATGTTAAATAGCTGCTTCAGATAAGAACCTCTTTGATGTTGAAGCAATTTATCTTATAGGCTACTTAAACACTTTTTCATGCCTTGGGGCACATAATGAATAGGAGGACTGGGAAAAGCCATTTTTTTTTAAAGATAACTTTTAAAAATTAAAAATGTTAATTTTTATATAGGTTATACAGGCATTTGGTTAAAAAAAATTCAGTGATACAAATGTGTGTGCAGTGAGACAAAAGTCCTCTCTTCACCCTTGTGTGTCTCCCAGATTCACTTATTAGATCTACTTTTAAAAATTGCTTCAGTCTTTCCAGACCAATTCTCAGCACTAACAAGCACATGCCGCAGAAGACTTAAAAATAGCTTGGTTTCTCTCTTGTAATCCTACAACAACAATTCAGCTTGAGCTTCATAGAAGGACGACAGCAGGGAAACAGCGTAGGCTGGAAACGCCAGACGCTCCGGGCCCGCCGTCCGCAGGCTCCTCCCGCGAACGGACAGCAGCCCGCCGGGCAGCGCCCGCAGAAACGCTGCCGCGCACAGCTGACTGCCAGAGGGGACAACAAAACCCTGACTTCCACGGAAGGTCTGTGCAAATCAGGAGTCACGCCATGACGACCACGGCAGATCCCAGCGGCTCTGGTCGCAGGGTCGCGAAGGCGCCGCCGAGCACCCGGCACCGGCCGACCGCGGGGCGCTCGCACGGCCAGGGCGGACGGCTCGCGTTACACTGCTGCGGCGTCAACCGCGGGTTTAGGGGTGTTTGGAGATGATCTGTCCAATTAAAATTAAAAGCAAAATGACGTTGAATTCTCTAATAAAACAAATTTGAAAAAAGTGTTAATATTGAGTCAGAAAAACATCAAAATCTGCCACTGTACAAGTATCAAGATACAATAGCAAGCCACACACGGCTCAATGCAATCAAAGCCTTAACTCCCTCCTCGACATGAAAAATTTAGTGACACTGCAAACACACAGCAATCTAATTTTCGATTTAAAACAGCAGAAGCAAAGGGAAGTCCGTTATAGAGTGGCGGCGCCGTTTTCCCTCCGAAAATCGGCGAAAAAAGGATTTATTCCGTTCTAGCGTCAGAAGCAACTTCGGCGACGCGATTCCCTACGTAGGTGAGCGCCACCGACGATAACCTGCCGGCCCCGCTCAGCGGCCGCGTGCGTTTCCGCTCCCGCACGGCAAAGGAGAGCCAGCCGGGCGCCGCGGCGGGGCGTTCCGAGCCCGGGCAGCGCGAGGTCGTCCGGGCGCCGCGGCGGGAGCGCCGGGCTCAGCCCGAGCGGCCGGGCCCGCACCGGCGCCGCAGCCTCCGCGGCCGCAGCAGGTGGGACGACCGTCGCGCAGGCCCCGTCCCGCCGCGGCCGGTCCGCGCCGCCGCACGAAGCCTCGGTCCCCGCGTGGGTCGCTGCGCTACGCGCGAGGCCGCCTTCGCCGCGCCGCCGGGACCGCCACAGCCCCGCAGGGCGCCCGCGAGTCCGCGGCGAGCGCGAGGGCGCAGCCCCGAGGCCCGCGCTGCCAGGGGCCTCCCGCCGGCTCGAGCCGCCCTGCGGCGTCCCACGCAGCCGGCCGTGCGGCGGGCAGGCAGAGCGCCGGGCAGCGGGTCCGCCGGCCGGCCAGGGCCAGAGCCCCAGGGACAAAGAGGCGCGTCGGTGCCGGCGCGGGGAGCGGCGCGAACGCGGGCAGGGCGGCGCCAGCCTCGGCCCGCAGGGGGCGCCGGCCGCCGCCGGGCGCTTACCTTTGAGGACCGGGCACAGCTGTGCCAGGGCCATGTTCCCGAGCGGCCCGGCGTGTCAGGGGGCTGAGGCGGCGGCGGCGCTCACGGCCCGGCGCGGCGGCAGCCCCGCTCCGTCCCCATCGCCGGCCACCAGGCTGCCTCCCCGCGGGCCAGGGCTCAGGTCCCGCGGCCCGCCATGCCCGAGCCCCCGGCGGGCTCCCGCGCTGCCCGAGCTCCCCGACGGGCGCCGCCTCCTGACCCGCGGCGCTCAGCCCCGCGGGCGCCCGGAGCCGAAGGGAGCAAACGAGAGGCCCCTAACAGGCAGGCAGCTCCGCCCGCGACCGCGGCGCGGGATCCCCTGAAGTGGCGGGCGCGGGCCGCCGGGCTCATTTAAGCCGGGAGCGCGAGCGCCGCGTGCCGGCCTCGCCGCCTGTGCGCATGTGCCCACCGCCCCGCCCGCCTCGCTCCAGCCTCGCCCGCCCTCGCGCGCGGCCCGCGCCGGCCTCGCGCCCTGAGGCGGCCTAGCGCCGGGGCGGCGTCGCGCGGGCGGCTAGCGCTGGGGCCGGGCCGCGGGCGGGGCGGTGGCGCTTGCCATCGCTGCGTCGCGGGCGCGCGCTCGGAGAAGCGGGCGGGGAGGGGACCGGGACTGATCCCCCGCCGCCGCAGGACGCCCGCCGGGGGCAGGTCGCGCCCTCGAGTCCTCCCGCCTGACGGCGGCGGGGCACGCGCCGCTCACCCTGCTCGGCCGCCGGCGCCCGCCGGCCGGTCTGCGTCCGCCCTCACAGGCGGGGACGGCGGGACGGCGGCGACCCCTGGGGCCCCCAGGACCTCAGTTCAAGGTCAAAACTTTGCCCGGCTCTGGGCGGAGAGCCCGAGGCTCTCGCTGCCCTCCGGCGCCAGGTGAGGTAACCGGAGCGGCGGTTCCGATCGCTGCCCGCACTTCCTGCACGCTCACTGGGTTGCCAGGCTCGGTGCCAGGCTCTGTGCGTGCCAAGCCCTGCGATGCTCCGTTTCCCGCTCCCGAGGTAGGCAGTAGGCATTTCAGGAGGACGGAAAGTTGAGCCGCGTCCCAGACCCACACCGCCAGGGAGGAGGCGGGCGGGCGCCGGGGTCTGCCCTCTCGGCCGACCGCCGACCCGTGGCTTCTTGCACTGGAAGGTCTCCGGGTTCCACAGCAGCTGAGTAGTTCGTGATATTAAGTATCCTGTTGTATTTTCTCATAGCAGTTACCACACTCTGAGATTACCTTGCTCATTGGTTTATTCGTCGCTTGTGTCTCCCTAACCGTCACCCCTTTAAAATATAAGCTACTGGAAGGCGGGGGTCGGGGGACCACATGCATTTTTTCTGTCAACACATACTGGGTGTTAATTATGTGCGGAAAGCAATGATTGATGCTGGGGAATAACCATGATTAAGGCCTTACCATAATAGAATATTTATGTCTGAACCGATCTGTGTAGGAACTACATAAATGTTTGTCTTGCCAATTGTAGCTAAAGACAATGTCTGCAACTGAAAAAAAAATATTCAAGTGCCAGGCTCTTCTCCCTTTCCTTGTATCCCTTCAAGACAGGCACAAAAGTATAAGTAATTCACAAGATTTACAAATGAAAAATATACTTAACACCAGTTGATATCAAGATGATCAGCCCTTTGCTATGTGCTGTAGGAGGTATAAAAGCTATGTAAGTTTGAATTCCTAAAAACAATCACCTACAGTTAAGATTGCACACAAGAACCGACTAGAAATAAAACATTGTTTTCCATGGATATAGTAAGGTGGCATATTGGTAGACTACGGTGGTAAGGAGACTATTAAGTCTAAGTCACAGACAAGGGTTGACAAAAAGAATTGGGGAAAGGGGCCCTCTCAACTTCTGGAACATGAATAGGTTCTTAATGCATAGTCATTGAATGAAAAATCAGTGTGTGTGATGTCATCAGAAAATGCTTCATGAAGGAGGTGACAGAATGGAAACTTTGGCTGGCAGGTGGAGAATACATCAGGCAAGGAGCAGGGGTAATATCAAATTTGGGGCAAGAGTTGTGTTCGGTATTAAAAATAAGGTCGAATAGGCTGGGCTTTGATTATGTAGATACTTGCTTGAATGCTGGGCAGAGGTATTTGCACTTGATTCAGGAGGCCAGAGGAGTAGTCTTTAATAGTGGAGTAATGAAGTTCTGGGAGGATTAATTTGGCAGGTGAGTTGAGAAAAGGGGAGAGATTAATCATAGTAATCCAAAAAGTAGATATATAGTTCTTCTTCTTTAACTTAGTAGCTCTTACTGGTAGTATCATTTTTATTAAACCTAAAAAGTCTTTTCTCCTCTATAATATTGGCTTGGGAATAAATTCCAATTGGGAATGTTCATTTTGTGGCTCCCTTTTAAGACACCTATCTTAGACGTACTAGTGTAAGCGTCTGTAGTGGATGTTTCCAGGTGTAGTGAGGCGCAGATCAGAGCTGAGACTGCTGTGTGGCCATATGGCACCTAAATCAAAAGGAAGGCAGTTTGCGTCTCTCTCAGCTGGAGAGTTCTGTGTTTGAATTATTATTTTCCCAGAAGACCACCTAGCAGCACCCAGTCTGTCTCCACATTAGCTGCCAGTTCCCGGTGATTGAGGACTCTGTTTTCATTGCATTCTGCCCGATCTAGCCATAGCCTCTTTAACTCTTCACAGAATGATTCCTATAGTTTAAATTTGTTTTTTCTCTGAGCAAGTCTCATGTAGCAATTGAATTGTGTTGCGTGACATTGACTTATTAGAATCATTTAAAAAAATGAAGTATTTTATCTCAATGTTTATATACTTAACAGGTTTTTATTGTCTCTGTTTTGCTATAATTTGGGAATGCTAACATTTTATTAAATGATAGCTTAGGAAGGGTTTATGTTTAGAGATCGTATTTACTGAATGTTTGTGTCCCCTCAAAGCTCATATGTTGAAGCCCTAACCTGCAGTGTGGCTGTGTTTAGAGATGGGATCCTCTAAGGAAGTAATTAAGGTTAAATGAGGGCATAAGGATGGGGCCCTGATAGAATTAGTGTCCTTAGAAGAAGAGACCCTGGAGAGCTTGCTCTCTCTCTTCATGAGTAGGCACCACAGAGAGGCCATGTGAGGCAGAGCAGAAAGGCTGCCATCTACAATCTACGAAGAGAGCCCTCATCAGAAATGGGATTGGCTGATATTTTGCCTGAGACTTGTGGCCTCCAGAGCTATGAGAAAATACATCTGTTGTTTAATCCACCCAGCCTATAGTATTTTGTTGTGGCAGCCCGAGTCAACTAATACAGAGATATAACTAAGATAGAAGAATTTACAAATAACCAAACTTTTACGTACAGAAAATCTGTTTGTAATAAAATATAATATAGGTCTCAAACTGCTTTACTTACAGTGTGCAGATATGGCTACAATAATGGTGAAATTTAGTGAAAAATCATAATATGTTTTCATTGTATGAAAATTTCATTATTATGCAACTGTAGGATATTTTTTAGGGAAGAAAGAGGAACATTATAATTTTTTTAAATGGATTGTATTAGTCTGCTCAGGATGCCATGACAGAATGCGACAGACTGCGTGGCTAAAACAGGAATTTATTTTCTCACAGTTCTGGAGGCTGCCTGGCTTTTGTTGAGGCCTCTTTCCTGGCTTACAGACTACCACTGGCTCACTGTCTTCAGTGACCTTTACTCTTTCAGTGTGCACTCCTGGTGTCTCTTCCTCTTCTCTTATTAAGAACACCAGTTATATTAGATCAGGGTCCTGCCCTTATGACCTCATGCAACCTTATTTAGCTCCTTAAAGGCCCTGTCTGCAAATATAGTCACATGGGGGGTTAGGGCTCCAACACGAATTTTTGGGGGACACAATTCAGTTCATAAAATGCATGAACCAAAATTACTCCTATGTGAATGATATTGAAGAAGAGGGCAAGAGTTCTTTCAGTAACACTGTCTACTAAACTAATAAATTTTTGGTTAGCATAATTCCAAGCCAAGAAAGCTTTTATGAAGTATTGCCTCTCTTTTGATGCCTTTGGGAAGAATAGAAAAAATAAAAAAATAAAAATAAAACTATTGCCTTCTACTATACTAAAGTATTTCAGCTTTACCAGGAAAATTTCACATTGCCAAGAAAATTTCTGGTCATTAGTTACCTTCATTTGGTTGTGAAAAACTAAGAAAGGCCCTAATTACAGTCATTTGCTGCATGATGATCTTTTGGTCAATGATGGACTCTGCATATATGACATTAGTCCTATGAAATTATAATATGTATATTTACTGTATCTTTTCTGTGTTTAGATATCTTTAGATACACAAATACTTACCATTGTGTTACAGTTGCCTACAGTTTTCAGTACAATAACATGTACAGGTACCATATAGCCTAGGTACATAGTAGATTATACCATCTAGGTTTGTGAGTACACTGTATGATTTTTGCACAACAGTGCATTTCTCAGAATATATCCTCCTCATCAGTAAGTGATGCATGACTGTATATTTCTTAGAATAAAGCTGTTAACATAAATGGGATCTTTTTCTTAAAAGCTTACTGCAAGAAGAAACAAATGCTAGTTTATTGGTGCAATATGAAACCATAGTTTTTTTTTTACTTTATTATTTTTTATATATTATAAAATTTATTTTTAAATTTTGCTGACTTCATATTACTTCTACAGCAAGAAACCATAGTTTTAAGTGCAAAATTCTGACTATAGCTATTTGGAAATGTTTGCTAGATATAAAAATTTCTTATAAGTTCATATTATGGGCTTGATGGACTGTGAATATCTATGCTGGTTGATATACCTATGCTTGTGTGATTGGAATGCATATATACTAAATATACATATTTATTATATATCTATTATTCAGTTCTCATATGTTTGTAAGAAAGGTAAATAAGAATTATAATATTAACAATAAAACTCAAACTATTAATATTTTGTACCATAAAATATATAATCTAAGATTCGTAGTGAAACACTTATTTGTAAATATATTATCTACAAAAAGATCTTTGGAAAGTTTTACAGGATTTTTAAAAAATTGTGAAATACATAGCCAGAAAAGTGCCTAAAACATATGTGTGTACAGTTTAATTATAAAGCTTAGAGCCATGTAAATACTACTCACATCAAGAAATAAAACATCACCTCTACTTGAAGTTCTTCATATGCCTCTGCCTGATCATAATCTCTTAATTCCCAAGAGTTAGTAACTATTCTGACTTTTATCATTTCCTACCTTTTCTTTATAGTTTTCTTCCTGTAAATGCATCCTTAAACAATCTAGTTTAATTTTTCCTATTTCTGAACTTTATATGTATGAGCTGTATTTATGCTTCTGTGTCTTGCTTTTTGGCTTAACTTTATGAGATTAATCCATGTTTTTGTGTACAATTGT